GTCATCCCATGCTTGCCTGAGACCATCCATTTTTTTTTTTAGAAAGGATTAGTGAAGCGAATAACATCAAAAAGTTTGAATATGCCCGTCCGCAGCCTCGAGAGTAAGGACATCGGTGACCTGGGCACCAGCTCCCGCAAAACCGAACGGCTTCGGCCATTGCAAGTGCCACCAGGCGGGTTCGTGTCAGTCTGTCTCCTGGGCAGATCAATAATTACAGAAACACGAAACATAGGGATTCTACGTTTACTCTTCCAGTTAAACCACCATATCCCAGCCGCACTGCGCGGTGCTTTAAGTGCCAATTCGTTCCTACGATCAGTGTAAAAATCGCACACATGAAATATAAGCCCAGATGGCCCCCTAAATGTAAGATTCGGTGTCATAAAGCGTTCCAAAATACTCCCTTCGGAAGCGTCAGCATTTTCGTCCACATGTTGGCCACAGCTCAATATTAGCTGCTGGGGCGACGCTGCGCGACCTACGGAGACTGCAACGCCCGTAGACGAGTTTTTTGCTTCCAAGATTTTCGGGTACGCACGCTCAAAATTCACGTCACATAACTTGTATTACCAATCGTTTAATGTGTAAAAAGGTAATTATTTCGGAAGTGTCATCGTTATCGTCCACCGGTAGGCCAAGGCTACAAGTTAGCTGCTGGGCCAACGCTCCGTGGACTATGGAGACTGCAACGCCTGGTGTGGGGGTTTTTGCTGTTAAAATTTGAGGGAGCGCATGTCAAGAAGCGCGCGACATAAATTGCATCGCTAATCGATTCTAATTGAAAAGTGAACATTTCCAGACAAGCATGGCTTGGGCTGTTAATACACCTTGTTGACCACTAGATCTGTAATCAAATTTTTATCTTCAACATTTTGACCAGACATATCGATCTAATTTACCTTCGCGATGTTCTTAATGTCTGTAGAACACAAATACAAAATTCTGACAAAGCTTCTGAATTCTGCCGGTTTACAAAGCAGTCTACGCTGAATGATGGGCAATGAAATGCCCGTTGGGCCGATTCATACCTAAGGTAGGCAGCTTCCCGGAGGCTATTTTTCTGCAGTGGTGTGGCGTGAGAGAAGATAATTCGGAAAAAAGATGCTGTTACAGGTGTCCAACAAATGTTTCGCACACCAATTCATAGTAATGTGATCCAGAAATATGCGACAAAGTAGCCATGCGATCAGTTCACAGTCAGTCGTGCGGGGGACAGTCGGGCACGGGCAGTGGCCACCGACGGCGGACGGAAGCAGGGTCCAGATAAGAAACATATGACGGACAGGCCTTCATTATGTGGCTTGGTTCTTAAAAGAAAATCTCCAGTATTACGGTTTTGTCACTTTGTTTTTGGCAATTTCAAGCTACCGAATTTGTTTCCGCCTAGAATACTGCAACAAGTTTTATCTTTTGAAAGGAAGCCAGTGAAATCAAGGTGCATGAAATATCTGACAGTGTGTTAGCCAACGATTCACTTTCGAAATTGTCACCAGCCTATGTCCAGCCCGCATTTTGGCATCTACCCTGTGGAGGCCGATGCCTCCTTAATGAGCCAAAATGCTTACCCGCTAGTAGAATTTCGCCTCCCCAGAGACGACAATGTTAAAACTGAAGAATAATCTTGGGAAGCTGGGTAGCCTTATTTGCCGAATGACAGAGATGCGTTGAATGGGCAAGATTGTGCACCAGTACGAAATAGCGTTAGATGTAAATTTGGCATAGTATAGCAGCCATGACATTTGAATAAAGAGCGATAACAACCTTCATCCCTATCCCCACCCCTCCGGTAATCGGGTTCGTTTTCCAGAAAAAGTTCCTGAAGTACACCCTGAGCTTGCCGCCCCCCCCCCTCACACGTTTTGAAACGTTCCTACGCCTATGGCGCCTGTCACGGCGCGACGGCTGTTCGCGCGCCCGAGGTCGCCGATCGCCTGTGATCAGCAGCGCTGAGCTCAGCCGTCAGCAGCAGCGCTGAGCTCAGCCGTCAGCAGCAGCGCTGAGCTCAGCCGTCAGCAGCAGCGCCGTGCGCAGCCGCCAGCAGCGGAGAAAGTGAGGGGCACGGCGGTGGCCGGGCGGGTCAGGTCGGCCGGTCCTGGTCCGGCCGGGCGCGGAGCACAAAAAGTTCCTGAAGTACACCCTTAACTTGGTGTTTTTGAAGTTTTTGGAACGTTCCTACGCCTATGCTCATTGTTGTGTCTCCGAACTGTTAATTAACGTTAATGTGAGTTCATTTTACAAAGTAGGAAATAGCAACCCCGCGGCACGGCGGCTCCGGGCCGACTGCCTCCCAACGCCCGGCAGTGGCGCCACTCGCGGTGCGCCCATGAACTACAACCACGATGTTGAGGCTACGATACAACACTCATGTTAATCTCAATAGAAGCATTGGTGAAACATTGAAATGAGATATTTAGATATTTATGTTTAGACATTTATATCATTATATTATTTAGATATCACAGAATGAGCATATTTAGTATGAGCATGTCATGCCGAGCCGTTTGATTACAACGCTACTATGCTCGGTGAGATTTGACATTTGGTGAGATATCTCACCTCGAGTTCAAAGGAGAGAACCAGTTTTCACCAGCCTGTTGCAAATCAAAAACAAGGCCCAGATGTAGGATTAGCCTGTCATGGCGAGTCGTGTCATGTACAACACGAACACATTTGGGGAGATTTGATTTGCTGATTTTACTTGATGGTAACTCCGAGGTGAGATATCTCACCTGGATGTAGGGGTCAGCACTTGTTTTCCACGGCTTATGCTTCATGGGAACTGAAATGTTGGGTGTTCAGGTACGGCTCACCTAAAAATCAGGGAAATCTTAGGGGCCGACGAAATCAGTCCCGTTGACGCCCATGTTATGCTCTAGAGAAAACAAAACATCAGGTGTAAAACTTATTTCACCCCACTGTAACTAAGCAACCGAACATGCAAATAGAAAAACAAGGCCCATATTTAGACTCAGCACGTCAAGCCGATGCGTTTTATGTACAACACGACCACATTCGGTGAAATTTGACTTTCGGTGAGATTTCGCACATCGAGATTATGGGTGACATCTTGTTTTCCTGGGCTCATTTTTCATGGGATCTGATGTGTAAGATGTCCAGTCACAGTTTATCGGAAAATCAGGGAAATGTTAAGGGGCCGACGAAACCAGTCCCTCTGGTTCCCATGCTAATGTCAATGGGAAATAAAGCGTCGGGTGAAAAACTGATCTCATGTTTTTGTAACTCTGCGACCAACAAAGCAAATAAAAGACAATGTCTAGGTTTAGATCCAGCATATCAAGCCGAGTCGTTTGATGTACAGCACGACCCTATTCGGTGAGATTTGACTTTGACGGTGAGATATCTCACCGTCGGCTTTTGGGTGGGAACCTGCTTTATTAGGCCTAATTTGCAAGGAGAGAGATGTTCCACATGACCAGCGCAAATGTATCTGAGAATTATTCGCCTGCATTGTCCGACCGTGGGCTCCATGTGGGCAGAGGTTTGGTTTGTCTAAAAATTGGCTTCACTGCAATTTTGCTGAGTTTTTGGGACTTTCCGAGAAATGCCGTGACACCATGGACTAAATTGGACACAGCACATCATTTAACTTGTATGACTTGCTTGATTTGTTCAGTATTGACTTTTCGCATGTTAATTTTGTGAAACTAGCTAAAGAAGCCAAAATTTTGTATCCCCGCGCATTGCGGCATATGGATGCGTTCAGTTCATATGGACCGTTAACATACCCCATTTTGAGCATTTTTGGAGGGACCGCTTGTATGGGCCGACCGTGGGCTGAGCATGAGCTGTCTCGACACACATCTGCGAGGCGGGTTCTCGACGCGCATCAGCTGCAGGACGATGTCGAGTTGAGGCTCGTCGTCAGCGACGACAGAGAAGACAGCGGGCTGGAGGCGATCAATGGAGACGGCGTCGAGTCGACCAGAAGCCGGGCGAACGTGAAACCAGTTGGCGGCGCGTCGCACGGCAGCTAGTGGGCCTGTGCAGGGCGCAGAGAGCGGTCGTTTCACGCCATCTACGCGCACCCAGACATGTGTCTACCTGGCTATCTCGGGAGGCAGATGGGTCAGCTGTTCAGCGTGATGATGATCCTAGTATGTAACGGAGCCTCGCGAGCAAGCAAAGGGCCTCATTAACAAAACACTGGACTTTTTTTTATCAAACCATGTGCTACCTTATTTACGGGGGTGACCACATCATCCAGAACACATTTTTTTACTTCACTTCACCGCCTGGATCTGGTCACGCTGCGTCGTCATATCTCAGCATGTGCCGCTTGCCGCTAAACCTTCGGAAGTGTTTGAATGCTCTTTTCGTCCCTGTGTTCTACCACAACTGATAGTGGTAGATCTGAGGGCGGACGGGTCATCGCATTAATGGCTTTGGTTTCAGAGCCCCCCGCCGCTAAAAAATGATTCCATGATTTACAGAACATAAATTTTTCATGCAATCGTTTTGAATGTTTCATCTAAGCTGCGTCAGTAGTAAATGTATTATGTGCCGGTAGTAATGTTTTTGTTGCTGTCAATGAGGCTTTACGACACATTTAATTGTAAATACATCGCTAGCATCGCTGGCTTGTTGCCCTGGCAAGAAGGGCACCTACGATGCCCTTTTGTACACCCGATTTTCTGGGACCAGTCGCCATGCTGGTCAAGCAGGACAAACTCCTGCCGTCATCTACACACCCAGGCACCATGACCTTGCACAGGACCTAGAGGGTGGGTCTCACCAGCGTTGTTTCCGCGCGCGCCAGGAAAGCGTGAGAGCAGAAGCATAATATGTTTTAATTACACTTAGGTGTATTTCGCCTGTTTGCTATTGGCCAATGCCCTGTAGGTGTCAACAGACGTTACTGTTAGAATTGGTGTTGTTGCATCTGCCAATCCCATTCAAATACTGTGGTGGATATCACTGTCGCTGGGAGCGGTTTCAGAACTGAATGGCATGCTGGCTAAGCAGCACAAACGCGAATACTGTGTAAATCTTCTCTATTGCTGATACAGATAAGATTTTGTGTTTACCATCGGAAACACACTCACAAAATGAAACAGACCCCATCATTTACAACCATTTGCAGCTAAACCATAAAGGATTTACGGATAAACGGGCAAAGAAATCACATTGACGTCCATAAGACACGAACACTAGATGTCTTACGCTTAATGGCTTATCCCCGCACTCTCACAAACTGTTACACATGCAGTCACCGAAGGACTCAACCCCACTCTGTTCCAATGGGGTGGGACTGAATCGCTGACCGCTTACAGCAGGTCATCGGACGGCGAAGATGATCACGGTTTCAGGCCCAGCCGCGCGTCAGCCGATTCGGAGCGGCACTAGAGAGCGGAGGCCACCTGGCGCTTCCGGGGCGCCCGCTTGTTTCTCGCTGCGCCCGCTAGATGGCACTCGCCCGAGCCCGCCGGAGCCGCGTTCCGGCCCTCCGCCCAGCCCAGGCTACCACCGCCCGGCCCACGTGCAGGCAGGCGCCGACACCCGGCGTCGATTCTACCTGCGCCGCAATGGTCACAGGGTGCGAAGTTCGTGCGCCTTGCCACCGGCGCTGGCCTTGCACCCGTGGTCTGAACACGGCCGTGACGTCACACCACGAACAGCCCCTCGCGACCCGAGTCCGGCCACGAAATGGTGCTGATGTGCCGGTGCCACTCTGGTGGCGCCGAATCGAAACGCGATCGCAATACCGCCCGGCAGGTGTCCCCACTGGAGTTCGTTCTCTCGGCACTCAAGATCGCATGGCATCGCATCGGTCGCATTGAGCGCGACTCTCAGTTCATGACGCGCATGTCCTTCCCTTCAAGCCAGGGTCGGCAAAGTCTCTGGTGGTCGGTGGTGGTTAGAACGGAGCGCCGCCAAGGGCTCAAAACACTTCCTCGCTGCTTCGGTTTTGTCCGATCTCTTCGTCGAGACGGGTAATGTCGGTGGTGGCCTTGGCTTTCTGCTTCCAGCAACCCAGCTGGCCCAGCCGCTCCATCAGCTTCTGGCGCACTCTCTTGTCGCTCAGCACCACCGCTACAAAAATGAAGAAGCCCTGCAGCATGTTCAGGATATCGAAGAGGATCCTGTGGGAAGCATACATAGTTCAGTCAACCGGTGGCGTAGCTAATTACCATTTGATTCATGATGAATATTAAGTGAGCCACGATTCATCAACGGTTAGATCAGTATTGTGAAAATAGATCCTACCCAAACATTTTGATAAAAACTATTCTGGGAGGAGGGCCCACGCTAAGCAAGACTTGTGTGAGCTCTGACCTCACCATCAATCCTGCATTTCCAGGCAAACGACAGAAATTTGAGGCAAAAGATCAACGTGTCACAATCGCAATCCTCGATACGATCCGCCCCACCCTCTGACCTCATCTGGTCTTAAGCAGGCGCTGCCAACGGCCGCAGGTCATCCCAGCCCGGGGTAAAGGCGAGTCCCGGAGCGACTTGAACCCACCCACCCCGATACGGGCAGATTGGGAGGCAGACGTTCTAACCGAGTGAACTGCTCGGGTCGATAAAAATACCAGCAACGACACCCCAACTTTATGTGCTCTTCTTCCAAGCAGAATTTGTTCAATCAGCGCAAACGTTCAAAATCGCATCCCCGTTCATCGACAAAAAAGTTACAGTTATCTCTCACTTCGCGTGGCTGCAACGGACCTGGGCATCATGATCATCACACCGGGCGATTTAGATATGCGTATCGTTTTCTTACCAGATCTCGGTACTATCGTTGATGAAGAACTGTAACACCTCGAACACCCAGGTAATACCCATGACGAAGAAGACCTTGAAGCACATCTTCAATCTGAAACAAATGACATTGAATTGCAGGCTTCTCGCCAGATGAAACAAAGGAGGCAAACTACACCCAATCGCCTCGTCATGTGGGTGCTGAATACCAGCAGGACGCCCTGTGTGGGACCTGTCCCAAGCGAGGAGCCTGGTCCCTTGTAAGGGATCCATCCTGCACGAGAGGCCTCGTCCCTTATGAGGGACCTCTCCCGCAGGGGGAACCTCGTCCCTTGTGAGGGATCCATCCTACACGAGGGACCTGTCCCGCAGGAGGAACCTCGTCCCTTATGAGGGGTCCATCCCTCACGAAGGACCTCGTCCTTTGGGGTGCCGGTAGGGTAGTGGTTAACGCAGCTCGTGCGGGACGGCTCCCCCAAGGGACGAGGTCGTGTGTGTGTGTGTGTCATTGGGGCTTTACGACGCGCTCAGCTGCTGAGGCTATATGGCGTCGCCCGCCTCTCACCTTGGCAGGGAGGGCGGGCACCGCCTCCCTTGTGAGGGATCCATCCCGCACAAGGGACGAAGTCCCTTGTGCAAGACGATCAGGTAGATGATGCTACAACCAAGCCAACAGAGCTGGACACCTTCGGCAACCCAGAACAATCGGCTGCCTCAACGCTTTCGAATGTCACCTTTTATGATGATTTAGGAGACGGAGGCCTAGTGATGCAGAATTTGTGCGCCATTTAACAAACACGATAGTCTAGAGACGGCCATGGGTCTGGTGTGGCTTAGTAGCTCCAAGGGCCGAAATAGACAAATTTCCCAGCATTTAGCTTATGGCGGTTGCACACAAAATGGTACGATAAATATTTGGGTTTGTCGTTGGTTTATTTAGCAGTGCTACGTGCCTGTGACATGCCTACGGCACAAACTCTCTCGCGTCAAGCTCATTGCATCCTGTAATCGAGATCTGCTTCAGGAAAGCGGCATTAGCCGTCTCATGACCAGCAACGAGGGAAGGTATTGGTGAGACAACTTGGGAATTCGTTGGTGAGCTGCGCCCGGGACGATCAGCCCCACCAGCAGTCGACTTCAGCTCATCTCCGCTGTTGGCTGAGATCTGGCACCAACCCTTGGAAACGTTCCGACACGAGCAAGTTCATGGCTTGCCCCAGACGGCGCACCAACTTCCACACACACACCGATCCCCCCCCCCCTTGACCAGTACCGTTGTCTGTATCCCCCTCGGTCAGAACGTTAGTAACATGTCGCTGCAGCGCCGAAATCTGATCCAGGTCCAGCAAATCTGAAATCTGAATCTGGTCCAGATTTCAACGGATTAAAATCTGGACCAGATCTCAATCCGTGCTCATCAACTTGACCAAAAGTTAACAAAAAGTGAACACCAAGTGGAAAATGTTCTCATGGCTCGAGCCTGGTTTATTCGGCCGGTCAGCGTCCCTCGAAAATAAAAAACCGAAACCCATTCCCTCTGGAACACGGTTGAGACGGCTGCAGGAAAACGATCGATACAATGGCTTTAATTGGTCGTTGCTTGAAGAGCCTACTATACTATGGTCAGGGGCAGTGTCACCGTCTGATGGTTGGGGGGGGGGGGGGAGGGGACTTATGCTCCTTCTCTCTATGCAACGCCATGGGCGTGATGTTATGTTTCCATATGATTGGAAAGCATCCAGCCCATCCCACTCCGGTACCGTCGACCCAGGGTTAGTGGCATTAGCTGACCTGCTCTTCCCCTTGTGCTCGCCGTCGTCATCCAGCTTCTGCGCTCCGTCCATATTCTTGTAGATGTTGATGGCGCTCATGACGAAGAGGACGACGTTCGCCACGATCAGCAGCGTCACGGGACCGAAGAAGTAGGCCAACTCCGCGTTCCGATCTGGCCGCGAGTAAGACAGCATATCGTGTTTACTCAAGACAGCGTCTCGTGTTCACTCAAGACAGCATATCGTGTTTACTTAAGACAACGTGTCATGTTTACTTAAGGCAGCGTCTCGCGTTTACTCAAGACAGCGTCTCGCGTTTACTCAAGACAGCGTCTCGTGTTTGCTCGAGACAGCGTCTCGTGTTTGCTCGAGACAGCGTCACGTGTTTACTCAAGAACAGTCAACAGTGTGCAGTAACGTGGTCCTTAATGCGGTTCATGGGTCTGGAACGAACGAAGCTAACCGGGAATGACGAACTGTAGCGTGCCATCAAACCGCACAGCCTCTTTCTGCTAGCGCGCCAGACCGGTTCACCAAGCCGACCCTCTTCGCCGGCAGACACGTCCTCTGACGCCTGCCCGCTGTCCTCGAGATCCCCACGCCAGCTCTGATATCCCCCGTGGCGAGGCCCCTCCGCCGCGTCCGCCCGCGAAGCCGACGCGGCGGCTCGACCCGCCTTCGCACTCACTGCCGAACCAGCAGGAGGTGCTGGCGATGTGCGGCCGGATCAGGTACTCGGACGTGCTGGGGCTGAAGTCGACGATGACGGCGGCCAGCGTGAACAGCAGCGGCGCGCACCAGCCGAACACGCTCAGGTAGATAAACCAGCGGCGCTCCTCCTCCAGCGTGCGGCCGCCCCAGCGCCTGTTGGCCGCACGTCGGCGTCTCATGACGCGCCACGGAGTGCGCACCAGGACAGGCGACCCCTGCTCATGGCGCATATACCGCCTGTGGTGGACGGTGAGCTCACAAAATCTCCCTCACTACTTGACTCGCTGATGGCGAAGAATAAAATCCGGCTGACCGGTATATGCTGGGCGTTTACGTGGCCAAATAGGTTAAATGAGGCTTATTCTAACTCCGTTGCATTGAGCACATCTCGGGAATTCCATGGCATATCACGCAATGGCAGCGAGCTCCCAACACGCTTTGTCTTCCATGAAGCGGCCGTGCTGAACAGCGCATGTGACGCGGCAGTTCGCCGCGGGATACCGCGGCAGGCCGGGCGTGCCGACACAAAGGTGTTGCATGCTCTGTTGACATCCTGTGCCCGGCCGACACTGTTCACTCCAATGGTGAGCGTGTCTGGTAATCCCCATCTGCATGCTACTGCATGCGTTGCTGGCGCATTATGGACATCCTGCTTGACGCGGCGGCAGCGCAGGCAGGGGGGGGGGAGGGGCGCTCCGCTGCGTCGGGGAGGGGGGGGGGGGGGGCTGCGCCGGAGCACCGGCCGGACCGTGTTCGCCTCACCTGGTGGTGTAGTAGACTGTGAGCGACACAACGCTCAGCCAGAAGAATGAGGCCAGCATCCAGTAGTGCAGAAACAGGCCTGAAACGAGCACCCACGTGCTGTCAGTGGCGCGGATCCGGACTGTTACACTCAGAGGCGGATCTAGCCTGGAGTATTTTTTTTTGGGGGGGGGGGCAACCGTTCGTCGCCAGCTGGCTGGTGTGGGATCCGAGGTCTAGTGCATGGTGCCTCCAGCGAGTACATAGTAGGGACACCATTCAAGCACCGAAATGCTTTTGAATTTTCTTTATACGGTATGCATGTTTACAAAGCTCGTAACCCTCATTTTGAGGTAGTATTTTGCTATTATGTGTTTGCTACTATGTAGGCTATTATTTTGAGGTACATCTTTTGAGGTCAGTGGACGAAACTTTTATGAAGTTCTGGGAATGTTTTTTTTTGGGGGGGGGCAAAACATACTCTCAGAGTTTTTTGGGGGGGCCATGGCCCCGTGCCCCCCCCCCCCCCCCAGGATCTGCCTATGGTTACACCCCACCGTTGGAGCCAGCGACCAGGAATTTCCATGACGAGGAGCATATACATGCACATCCGGACCCTACCAAATACGTGATCCTTTGGGTCGAGATCCCCAGCGTGCTGGCCTACACCCGGTGATCGGTCCAGAGCTACGGGAGGCGCCCAACAAGCTACACTAATGATCTTGTGACGTCACGCCGTGGATGCCAGCCGGTTGGCAGTGACTTAATCAGCCATGGTCTCCCGTCTCACGCGCTAAATGAATGGAAGCCAAAGTCGCGCGCAATTTGGTGTAGGAGCGTGGTTACACAACTGATTTGTTATGCTGCAGGCAGGAGTATTCCACAAGCGCGCGAGTTGCTCAAAGACTTTACGAGGCCATGAAAACGGATTTTCGCCAGTTCACCTTGAAAGGCTTGGTAACTAGTTTTTCTGGTTCTGAAACATGAGTCTCACACACCAAAAAACCCTCGGCAGGTACGCTTTGTGCTTAAGACTCAAGAACGCTATGTTGCGGAGAGCATGGTGGTTAAATCAAAGTCGTACTTGATCTCTGTAGAGCAAAAATAGTGTGTTTGTATAATTGTCTGGCTATGTCGTACAAGCATTGTCTGCATGTTCACAAGACTGCTTAAAGGGAGTCAACCTGGTGAGAAAAGGTGATCCGCGCATCTTGCGTTTGCCACCATTTTTGTGTCACGTGCGAAAACATGATAGCAATTTCGATTTACATGGCATCCCTGGCCACGAGTTTTTGCTTTACACTGTGATGTTCTAGCAAAGTTTAGCGCATAATGGTTACCGTGTAATGGCCATGGTTTGGATCTCACGGAGTTGGAATACAATCCAGGACAAAAGTGAAGCGCCGCATGTTTTCCGGCCGGGATTTGCGTGGTTAAAAAATCGAGCACATCCGAGTCTCTCGTATTCTCTGAAACATATCGATGAGATTTAAGCGTCAGTGCGACAGGCGAAACCGTAGCGTTCTCACCACCGAACTCTTCGCTTTCCGCGCTGACGAGTTCAGCTGCAATTGTTGTGAGTGTTCCGGCAGGCAGCCCAAATTTCACCGTCATTTTCAGTTGACGTGTCAGCCCGTGACGGCACAACAGGGCGACATTCCCATCCTGTGATATGCGCCTCAGCATCTCCCAGCTATTAGCGAGTCATGATATATGATGTTGAGAGGCCGCCGCAGTACAAGCTGATCCCCCTACCACTGCTGTACCATACTGTCGCAGTACAAGCTGATCCCCCTGCCACTGCTGTACATGCTGTAAGTCGACGGTGAAAGGAGCGCTCACGAGGCGTTTGCTTGGAACAGCGCCTGTGTCGACCTCGCCAACCACCTTCCGGGCGTAAAATCTCAGGGCTGAGGGTTACTTCATGAAAACAGAGCGTTCGTTCAAGAGTGTCTACCTCTCCACTTGACCTACTTGAGCTGCGATGAGCGTGACAGGTCGCAACAAAAATGATGGCAAACAAGCTTAAAGCGTAAAATAAAGCATAAAGCGTTTCAGTCTTTTCATTTTTCCTCGCTCGTTCACATGTGGAAGCAGTTTGAGACTGTAAAAATACCATCTGTAACTGTCGGTACATTGCTTGTCTGAAGGAGCTTTGCATTGCATACTGCGACCCCGCTTACTCGAGCGCAAGCAAGCGCGCCTTTACGCGAGCCTTTGGCAGGAAGCGGCACAGTCAAACGTGGTTTGTTTGTGCATGTTCCGTGCTTCAGTAGCACTTTTCCTGCTGCACGTCCTTCGCCTCACATTCCATAGCCGAAACGATAGCCGTTTAAACGTCACAGGCAAAGTATATGTGAAACAGCCGCCAGCTCTAAAATTGCACTTATCTCGCCCACATACAGTTTGAAGTGGTTGGCTTACTACCAGCTATAGACTGCTTATGAACGGTGTTTCGCATTCATCGTCATGTTTTAACCTCATGACTTCAGCTTAATTGGTTGACATCGGCCTGTCGCTAACCATAAGTGAATAAACAGGTTAACAAATAGACACCCTAAACTATAACGCACGCCTTAACTACTTCTGCTATGCGCGCACTGCACTGCTAGCTTCAAGTGATGAAATTGCCTCCTCTTGAGCCTGTGACACCGAGCCTGTGACGCTGGCCCTGTCTGAGATCGGGCACCTTGCCTGAGTCCTCTGTGTGGAGTACAGCACCAGCTCGCCAGTGGACCAGCAACAGTCGCCTACCGAACCACGGGCCGGACGCAAGCGATTTACTTACCACGTGCCGAATACGGATCCTTGGACCCGTCGAAAAGTGAAGCGCCCCCCAAAACGCCTTGTCTAACAGATTCATCTCAGCAGGAGCACCCTTCCAAAAGTATGATGAGTTGGAAATTATCGGCGCATCGACGGCGAATGGTCATTCAGCGCCGCCCAAAAGTAACAACCTTTTCAAACATGAGCTGCTTACTAAATGCCACACCCAGTCGAACACCGCAAGCATATCGAACACAACCAACGAATCTCGCAGTTCACTGGATGCTGTGCACACATTCAGGGACATCAAGACACTTACCAAACTAGTCCTCCGAGCCTCTCACCATGTCAAGACAGCCACCAAAATTCCAGCCGGAGAGAGCCCCCGCCCCCACCCGCCGGCCACTCACCGAATCCGAGGCATGCTCCAGAGCCGAGCTGGTGGCTGGCCGCGTTCACTATGATGAACATGAGGTAGGCCATGAAGAGCGAGATGAGCGTGCAGATGATGGTACGTCCCTGCAGGTCCCGCATCTCGGGCAGCAGGGCGTAAGTGATGAGCGTGAGCACGATGAACACCTCGCTGACGAGCATGGTGCCCGGGTAGACCCAGGTCCTGATCATCTGCGAGACGGGACCCTCCTTCTTGGGGCCGGGCAGCTTGATGCTGTCCATGCAGACGACGGCGAAGTGCAGCCGGTCGGCGGCGCCGGCCACCTCCACGATGCACGACTCGTCCGACGGGACGGTGGTGTTGTAGAAGGGGAAGTACAGGTCGCCGCTGGGCAGCGCCAGGAAGTCGTCCTCGCGCGGCGACTTGTCCGGCCGGTAGAGGAAGGCGCCGCAGCTGGGGTAGCCCATGATGAGCGTGTACACGGTGCCGGGTCCGATGGTCATGCGGCTGCCGTTGCGGTGCGTCCAGGGCGGCAGCCACTCGGCGTCCGTCTGCCGCGTGTCGCACGTACCCGAGGTGGTGTTGAAGAGCGCCAGGTCGGGGCAGCAGTAGTGCACCACCAGGTCGCGACCGGGGTTGATCGGCGCGGCGAACCGCACGGCCAGCAGCAGCAGGCCGGCTGACAGCAGGCGGCGCTCCATCATGTTCGGACGAGCGTGCGGCGGGCCTGCCGACAGAGGCGACGCGTCAGCGCGGGCCGCGCCCCCCGAACTGGGCGGAGGGAAGTCTACAGCCTGATGCAAAACTGCACCACAGGCAGCTCGACATGTCCAAGCCTGGTGCTGAGCAACGCGGCAGTGGGCACAGCACAAACTGACGTTTTTAAATGGGTCAGCGTGAGTCAGCACTGAGGTGGATACGTCAGATGTGTTGGGTGTACACGTGTTGACGCGGGTAGCATGTGGGTTGATGGGGGACTCATGCACATCTTGATGCTGTGCACGTCTTTCTAAATTTCGCAGTTTCATCTTTGCCATTACAACATTTTATGAAACCATTCAGAACCGCAACATGCTGGAATAGGATGCGTTAGGCTTCAAGTCGAAAGCCCGTACAACAGGACGCTGATACGGACACGAGCACTCTGAGCACAACCATCCGATCATTTCACACAACGCGAACAGACTCAGCCAGGGGTCAGCCTGGACTTTGGCAACATCTGAGTCTGGAGGCCAAATGTGGCGCGACGGCTCGGCTCCGCTGGCCGCTGGCAGTCCAGCTCGGGACCGAGGCTGGTTTGTCCGGCCCAGACCCTCCTGTCACTGGGGGTCTGACCCGGAACCCACGGCCGGCCCGGAACCGGACCCAGGTCAGGTCAGGGCTCGGAGCCGACCCGGATCAGGTTAGAGGACGGTATTTTTAGTAGTCGTAACTTGTAAATAGCACCGGGCTTGCCGGTCTGGTACGGTCTGGCCCAGATCAGTCAGGGTAGAAAATGTGTCAGTCATGGTCGACGTGTGGGGCTCCTGCAACCCTCTCCCATCGACCCGAATTTTTAACCATTCAAAGACACCCCACTTCACCCGAAAAACAATTAAAAATTGGCGCAATGCGTTCCTCCCAAGCTCGACCTCGCCCTAAGAAAACCCTGGCTGCGCCCCTGGAGTCGGACCCGCCGCCACGGCGCCCCCGGCGTTGCTTCGCCTGGGCCTGCCCCGCGCCCTGTGCGGTCACACCCGGACCTGCTGGCGGCCGCGGCAGGGGTGACGCGTACCCCAGCCGCGCCACAATAGCCGCCGCCGGCTAACCTCCACGCCGCGCGCGCGGTGTTTACCCGGCCGCCTCCGATTCCGGATGAGCCGGCGCGCCAAACGTCCCGATGCCCCGATACCGGCGGCCCGCCTGGACGGGCCGGCCGGCGACGGGGTCGGTCGGGGGGGGGGGGGGGGACGGGGAGGGGCGGGCCCACTGCCGCGACGCAGTAGCGCGGCCGCGGCATCTCCGTCCAGAAGGGGCCGTCGTGGAGACAACTGCGTTGACCACAACGCCCTTGAAGAGGGGCGCCACCATCTCGGACGTTCGCCGCCGGCGAGACGGAAGACCACGAGAACGGGGGCCGGCACAAACCATGGCCTCCAGACCGACGCCATCGCCTGGATCAGTCGCTTTTTGCGGGCGATTCGTGGGAAAACAAGCCCGGATCGCTTTCTGAGCCATCAATTACTTCGGCGCTTCGTCCGCAGCGTAACGCACGGCTCATGCCATCTGACCGAGCCCGACGCTGACGCCCGCCGGTGGTGACGGGACGGCTGGAGCGATGGGCGCAGGCCGAAGCAGCGGGAACGGCGGTCGGCCCGACAGCGGGCGCGGCACACCGCCGGGTAGCCATCCGTCACGCCCCTGGGCGCGGCGTCGTGACTGTCCCGGCCGGTGACACGGAACTGCGGGCTACCGCCGGCAGCGGCACGGAACTGCGGACCACCACCGGCAGCGGTACGGAACTGCGGACCGCCGCAGGCAACGGTACGGAACTGCGGGCCGCCGCTGGCAGCAATGTAAAACTGGGAGCCACCGCTGCGGACCACAGCGCAGACAGGATCCAGGACCGCTCATCAGCACGGTTTGGTCGATCCCGCTGGTTCAGTCCTCGGGCGTCAGTCGCAGCTCCGGGACATGAGCTGGCACGAGCCTCGACACTGACCACGAACTGGCCGACCACGGAATCAGTGTGGGGACGGGCAGGGGCGGGATCTCTCTCGGACGGAACGGGTGGAACTTTTCGTCGCCTTTTTGACATATCAATAGTTCATCGCCTGTATTTCGATGAACGCCGTTCCAACGCAATCAAACCGCCAGCCCACCAGTTTGGCCGTCATTCCACTCTTGAGACGTCACGGACGATCGCGTAACGATTTCGTGACACACTCGCACAGGTTTCGGGAAACAGAGCGTTGCCCCATAGCGTGTTCAAGTAAGCCGCACGCACATAACATCCTGGAGTTTTTCCTGGGCAGGTATTCCGATCCAGCGCTGCCAAGCAAGCCCAAAAACATCGCGTGCCGAGCTGATGATCCATACAATGCCCAGTACAGACCGCAGGTGCTGAGACATATGACATTGTCCCGATCCGGAATGCCGTGGGATGATTTCCGTGATTCAGATCTGTCGTGCAGGTCAGCTGGCCAGCTGACGGCGGGAGTGCGCGAGCGGGCTCGTCTTGTGCAGCGCCGCCTGGGCGAGGCACGCTTCACCGTCAGCCGGGGCGGCCGAGCGGCCGGCGTACCCCGGGTGGACCGGCGCACCCCTGGCTGGATCGGCGCACCCCGGCTGGACCGGCGCACCCCTTGCTGGACCCACGCACCGCCGGCTGGGCTGGCGCACCCCTGGCTGGACCGGCGCGCCCCGGCTGTACCCACACACCGCCGGCTGGACTAGCGCACCCACGGCTGGTCGTCGCCGGCGGCTCCGTGCCAGGAGAGCATCGACGGATGCCCGCCGCTGCAGTTGGCCGACGCCGGTCCGAACGACCCAACCAGACCTGTGGCGGCCCTCTGGGAGGGTCCGCCAGAGACGTGCCAGCTGCGTGTACCGGCTCACCTGCCTTCGACCGGCCCTGCCAGGCCTGTCGCGGCTCTGAGGACGTCTCCGTCACTCCCTGCGTTAAGCCCACTCGGACAGCTCTAAGACGCCGCCACGCGTCCTGACCACGGACTCAGCCGTCCCCGGGAGTGGCCACTCCTGCCGCGGCCGCCGCCTGCCGGTCGAACAATGCCCTCAGCCGCACTTTCTATTTCATGCACAGCCGCCGGAACAGGCAGCTACAAAAAGAGGCGGATGGCGCAACGGCGCGGCCGGAGGCAGCTGACGAGGCGGACGGGTCGGGCGGGCCGGCGGACGGGTCGGACGGGCCGGCGGACGGACCTGTCGGCCGACCTCAGAGGAGAGATAGCTACCCTCCTGGCACGGGCGGCCGTCGGACCATCCGCCGTACGTTCGCGGCGCAGCCCGCTGCGTGTCGGCGTGGGGGGAGGACGGTCTTGAACCGAGGGGTGGAGGGGGTGGAGGTGGGGGGGGGGGGGGGGGAGGGGGAGTCTGTGACTGGCCCAGATGTGGCTACGGCCCATTATGGCACGTGTTTGGCGTGTTGCACGACTGAACCGTGTTGATAATTGAGAGTACAACGCTGAACTCATCAAGCCAAATCTGCAATGCAACTCGATTTTCCAGCGTAGCGTTAGCTTCAATGCAATTTTCTAGTGTATGTACGCTAGAGGTTTATAAGTGATGCCCTAAAAAGTCGTCGATAATCTCAGCCTGAAGACACGACCCCATTCCCGAGCGACCCCATCTCCCCGCGACGCCTCACAAGATCGGCTGGCCTGATCCGCTACCTCGGGCCATTTCCATCCCGGGTGGCTCTGCAGCCGTCACTCCGTGTAGCTTACGCCACCTTAAGCAGGGGCTCCGCAGCGCCATTAGCCGCACCGGTCATGTCGCAGCACGGAGGGCCGTCGCTTGAGGTGACCACCGGGCCACACACGGCAAGCACAGCGCCGGCGTCGCCTCCGAGGCGGCGCCGTGGGGCGACACTCGCGGTGTGCCTCCATGGACAGGGACCGGTCACGCGACATCGCAGAGTGAGACAGACGACCGTGTCGGGTCACGACGTGCGACACGTGTCGTCGCTTTAGAGACGAATTCCGCCGTCAGGAGCTCGCGCTGCGCTGACGTGGGACAACAACGCACTCGGGCTACCATGTTTATAAGACGGAGGGCTCGATGAAACTGTGATGTCAAGAGGCCTGCAGCGAACGGTGCCTGGCGTAAGGCGTCATAGAATGTGGGAATTTTGTCGTTGTTCTCAGAAGGATCCGATAAGTCCAACAAGACGCTTTGGCCGTAAATCACACTAGCACACACGAGTGCTTCATTCCAGCAGGTACGAATCCCTGCACTAGGACGCACAATTACAGCTCGGGCGTCTGAGCCCGAAATCATACGGTATCACTCGTTCAGAGGCCTGACTCCCCCTCCCCTCATGTTCTCGCTGCACAGTTGCACAGCTCGGTAAGCATGACAGCCGTGACTGGAGAGGCTGCACGGCATGAGATCGTGACAGTGTCTGTCAAGAGATCGCGCCGCGTGCAAGTGCAACGCCATCCCGCCGTATCCACATTGGCACCCGCTCGCGGAAGTCACGAGCGTCGATGAGCAGCTAGCACCGGCGCAGTACTGCTACGGAGTGAAATCGCCACTAGAAGGGGCGTCGGCTTCCACTCCAATCAGCACTTCACCGTGTAGATGGTCTTACCGACGGACCCTGCTTATTGCGTGATACGGTTCTCGAAGATTACCGCGCACGCTCGAAGAAGACGCCGCGATGCGGAGGCCACACCACAGCCCGCCGCGGGTTGGCTGACCTCAGGACAGTGAGCCACCACAAAGTCAACCGGAGCCGGATAATCGGCCGGGGCTCGGCATTATTGCGCCCATCAGCACGGCACGGCCGGCGGAGCCTCGCCTCGCCGCGGCGGCTGATTAACCGACTGGTTTGTAGTCACGAAACACGCCGGCGTCGGCCTCCAGCGGCGGCGGCGGCCAGACGACGGCCGTGTGTGTACGGCTCGCCGGCGGCTCGGGCTTATCAGGCCAACACCGCTGCTGGCCGCCCGCTCACCGCTCGCCAGCGAGGGTAGCACACGCCGCCGCCCCGCTCTACGGTACGCG